GTTGTTCCTCCCTGGGTACAGAACTTTGCTCTTCCCCTTGTCGAACTTCATGAGATTCCTGTCAGCCCATTTCTCCAGCCCATTAAGGTCCCTCTGGATGGCAGCTCAATCCTCCGGCATATCAGCCACTCCTCCCAGTTTTGTGTCATCAGCAGACTTTCAAAGGGTACCCTCTGCCTCATCACCCAGATCATTAATGAAGATGTTAAACAGGACTGGACCCAGTATTGACCCCTGGGGTACACTGCTAGTTATTAACCTCCAACTAGGCTTCATTCTGCTGATCACCACCCTCTGGGCCTGGCCATTAAGCCAGTTTTCAATCCACTTCACTTTATGCTTATCCAGCCCGTACATCAACAGCTTGTGTATGAGGATATTATGGTGAGACTTTGTCAGCGGTCTTACTGAAGTCCAGGTAGACAATATCAGCTGCTCTCCCCTCATCTAGCAGGCCGGTCATTTCATTGCAGAAGTTTATCAAGTTGATCAAGCATGACTTCCTGTTGGTGGAGCCATGCTGACTACTCCGGATGACTTTCTTGCCCTTAATGTGCCTGGAAAGGGTTTCCAGGATTAGCTGCTCCATCACCTTCCCAGGTGGGTGAGGCTGACTGACCTGTAATTCCCTGGGCCCTCCTTGAAAATAAGAATAACAAGGCATTGAACCTGGAAAGGCTTGTGCGTATGTTTACATTGTTGTATTGTGCATGTTTCTTTTATGTTCCGTGGGGCATTCTTCGTGTGGGTGGCATGAGATAAGTGGATGAAGTCTGATGTAATTTTTTCATGATTTGCAGGTTTGTAATTAATTGAACTCAGTATGTTCAGGCTCAGGTTTAAAGCTGTGTACTCTTTGGGATGGAAGAACTTCGTTCTTTGTTCATTACCAAGCACACTGGTGTGTTTGTCAGAATTGAAAGTTCTACTCTGCCTTCTTTCAGTTATTGTGGTTTTAGCGTGTTTTGAGATGGTAGACATTATCCAGTATCCCTGAATTAGATTAATTTTTACATCAGCTTTGTTTTTTAAAAAAAAAGCCAAATATGTTATAACTTTATTTTCCAGGTAAGAAATGATGAAGGAAAGGTGATCCGCTTTCACTGTAAACTTTGTGAATGCAGTTTTAATGATCCCAATGCCAAGGAGATGCACTTAAAAGGGAGGCGGCACAGACTTCAGTATAAGGTTAGTAGAAATGCTAATGCTTCTATCTGAAAATCTGCCAGATGTCAGCTGACTGATTACACGTTCTTACATTTAAAGACTAGACAAAAGTAGGTGCTCTGAGTAAACAACATATTAAAAAAAGTTGAGAAATATATTTCTGAGGTAGTATAGTCTTTAGAGAAGTAATGCAGACTGTGAAACTGTATTTTCGTTTGCGTGGTTTTTTAAACATTTTGAACATTGCTTTCAGGCAATCTTTGCAACATTAAAATACAGTACAACATATGCAAGCAACAGTAGGTTCTTTATGTTGTTTGCCGTGAATTTGGAATAGTGTAAAATAGTAGTGCTCAATGGTTTTGGCAGGATAAACCGCATAAACCCTTTGTGGAGACATTTGAGAAACAAGTGTTGCAGATTGTTTAGTCATGAATGCAGAGATACCTGTACTGACATATGGTTTGCATTTTGATTATTATAAGATTATATTGGAAAAATCTATTGTGGTCCCAGGAGATACAGTGGACCTGCATAATCATGGAAGGGATGCAAGAAGGGAAAAAATTGCCAGAAGATTTTACTCAGCAACTCATGATTATGCCCCTGTATGAGGGACCCTTCAGGAACAGGGCATCAGGAAGCACACTGTAATTAAGATGAAATGTTTTTTCAGGCTGTGGAGTAGTCAACCTGCTACAGAATGAACATCGAATTACTTAGTATTTCACGTAACATTTTAATCTTAAATAGCTTTGTTCTTACATAAGTGAAGACGGAATTCATGCTATTTGTAATATGTTGCTATTTCTTTCCTTTAAAATACCAGACACAGATTTTTCCATCCTCAACTACCCACTCAATGCAGTTCTAAAACTGCATTTTATTCCCCTTGATTTTATCACAGACAATAGTGTGTGTTAAACATGTCAGAAGAACTCTGTAACCTTGAGATGACAAGAGGAAAAACAACATTTCATTTATTATTTTTCTGAACTAGAAAAAAGTAAACCCAGACTTACAAGTAGAAGTAAAGCCCAGTATTCGAGCAAGAAAAATTCAAGAAGAGAAGATGAGGAAACAGATGCAGAAAGAAGAATACTGGAGAAGGCGAGAAGAGGAAGAACGCTGGAGGATGGAAATGAGGTAATGCATTCTGTTTTATCAATGAAACAAAGCTGCAGTCAGATTATCTAAAATTAACTCTGCTTCTGTAGTTACTTATTTTGAATACTTGTTTTGGGAACTCTGTACTGTCTTGTTTTAAATTAAGTTGTCATTATCCCTCTGGGGTTTTTGTTTGTTAGTGTTCAATCCCTCTGAGGAATGCAAACTTAATTAGAATTATTTTGCTATAAATGCAGACCCACTTTCAAAATGACCATTTATTTTAGTTCCCTCTGGACTTCACTGGTGTTTGCTTGTGACTACTAGAAATGAGTTAGTGAGGACATACAAGAATATATTTAGAACGGTCGCAAGTGTTAACTGCTATATAAAGAGAACACTTTGATTCATGTATTTCAGGCGATATGAAGAGGACATGTACTGGAGGAGAATGGAGGAAGAACAGCATCACTGGGATGACCGTCGCAGAATACCGGATGGAGGATATCCTCATGGCCCTCCAGGACCTCTAGGCCTGCTGGGAGTTAGACCAGGAGACCAGCTGTGAGTTTCTTAACTTGAGAAAAAACAGTAAATCATACCTACCAGGAGGCACAGTTAAGAACAATAAATTATTCAGTGCTACTTCAGTTGTCTCCAGTGTTTCTTAATGAAGGATTTGGAAAAGTGAAGAAATTATATGCTAATGAAACTGTATAGGTGGACCTGTCTTCCAAAATCAGTCCACTGAAATGACAAAAGGATGCCTTGAAGACAAATATTGTTTCTTCTGAAATCCAAAGTCACTCTGGATTTGTGTACTGATTTTTATTTTATTTAATTGCATTATACAACATTATTTAGCTAATTGTGGATAAATGTATGGATAAAAATTGGTTGGATCATCAGTCCCAGAGGATAATGGTTAGTGGTGGGTTGTACTCTACCTGGAGGTCAGTACCAAGGCAAGTACCATATGGGTTTATCCTGGGATTTGTCTCATTAGCACCTTATCAATGATCTGAAAGGTGATAGAGTGAATGCAGCTCATCAGGTTTGCTGCTGGCATGAAACTGAATCAGTTTGGGGTGGGGAAAATAGTTGATACCTTTGAGGGCAGGGCTGCCATGCAGAGGGACCTAGGCAGACTGGAGGAATGGACCAACAGGAATTTTATGGAATTCTGCAAGAAAAAATGCCTAATGCTGCACTTGGAAAGGAATAACTCCTTGCACTGATACAGGCTGGGGAGTGACAGGCTGGGTAGCAGCTCTGCTGAAAGGGATTTGGGGATCTTGGCAGCTAGCAAGCTGAACATGAGTCAACAGTGTGCCCTGGCAGCAATGAAGGCCAACAGCATCCTGGGTTATATTAACAGGAGCATAAGCAGTAGATGAAGGGAGGTGATCAACTTTCGTTAGACCGAAACTGCAATACCACATTCAGTTTTGGGCTTTACAGTACAAGAAAGATACTATAAACCATAGCAGGTTCAGTGTGGGGCTACCAGGATGGTCAGGGGTCTGGAACGCATGCCCTGTGAGGAGTGACTGAGGGATCTGGGCTTGTTCAGCCTGGAGAAGAGACAGCTTCAGTGGGACATAATAGCCTTCGAATACCTGTGCATTATAAAGACAATGGAGCCAGGCTCTTTACGGTCATGAGAGGACGAGATATGACCAGCTTAAGCTGAGACAAAAGAGGTTCAGATTGAATACAGGAAATAATTTTTTTCACACAGATGTTGTGCAGCCTCCATCTTTGGCGATTTTCAAGAACTGATAGCTGACCATGGTTTGCATAGGAGATTAGACTAGAGGATCTCCGGAGGTCCCTTCCTATTTGAATTCTTCTGTGATTCTATGAAAGCAGTCATGGACACTTTATTTTGCAGCAGTTTGCAAGTATTTCCCAGTTGACAGAAAGACAATAGGTATTTATGTTGGGGAGATACTTTTGACCCTGGGATTTTGATACATTTAATGTTTTTTCAGACATGATTGATTGTGACCAGTGTAAGTTGTTCAGGACACTTCAATTCATGTTTTATTACATTTCAGCATTTTTGACATTTGAATATTTTGTTGTTTAGCCACATGTTTGGTTTTTGGTCACTTAGCATTTTTGAACTTGGAAGTGTACCCAAATTTCAGAAATACGCTTTTTCGTCTGTTTAGCCTCTACGCCGCCCTGACTCCTCTGATGACCGCTATGTGATGACCAAACATGCTGCTATATATCCAACAGAGGAGGAACTTCAAGCAGTCCAAAAAATCGTTTCTATTACTGAGCGTGCTTTGAAACTTGTTTCTGACAACATGACTGATCATGAAAAAAGCAAGAACAAAGAGGGAGATGACAAAAAAGATGGCAGTAAAGACAGGTATTTTTTTAATTACTTTTTAAGAACTTCATCATTTGTTTCTGAAGTTTTTCCTTACACTGTTATCAGTGCTTCCAGAGATTCTCTTCTCTTTGGGTGTTAATATGGTATATGTCACTATGGCCTCAAAAGTATGTGTAATACTCCTATTTTATTTCACTTTTCTATCTTAGGATTAGTTTTAAGGTTTTTATATTATTTTAAATGCAACTTTTAACTATAATTCACAGAGCTTTGAAAGGAGTTTTACGGGTAGGCGTTTTGGCTAAAGGTTTGCTACTCCGTGGAGACCGAAACGTCAATCTTGTTTTGTTATGTGCTGAGAAGCCTTCAAAGACGTTACTCAGTCGTATTGCGGAAAGTCTTCCCAAACAACTTGCAGTAAGTAAAATTTAGATTTTTGGATTTGAATTTTTGTAAAGATACTGTAAAAGTCTGTCCTCAAGTCAAATGTCTGCAAGGCTCACCATGCCACGTTTCATAGCTCAGGTTCAGTTTCTTTCCATTTTCTGAGTGTTTCCACCTAAATTCAGGGACTATGCTGCATGTTTTGCTTTCTGTATATTGTGTCCATACACGTGTCTAGGTGTTTACGCTAGCGGTGTAGTATCAATCATCATTTAATAAATTTCCTTTAATTGGGAAATAGAAATGAATAAAAGAAAGACTATTATCCAGTTACCAGCAGTGATAGAGGTAATTTGTGCCGTATTATAGGAAGCTTGCTTCCTGAAGGTCAAAGTTCTCTTTGCCAGTCTGTTTGTACTTACATCTTGTTTCCAATTTGTATGTGTCAGTGCTTTGTAGTTCCACAATGTGAACTGTCTTTTGGTTTTTTTTTTTTTTTTAAAGAAAAAAGTACATGCAGTCTTAGGACATTCATTAGAATTCATATAAACCATTTGCTGTATTTCCACAAGAAATGAAAGCATAGAGTAAAGTCTCTGCTCACTGCTGAACAAAGCCTGTCCACCGTCAATATAGAATGGTTGTCACAGCATTAGTATTTCAGTACTGTCTGGTAAAATGTTCAGTAAAATCAGTGGCATGGTAGAAGCTTTAGCAGGAGCAGATTAATTAGAAAATAATCTTAAGTTTGCTCTTGTTTGAAGTAACAAAAGCAGAAGAAAATTTAAAACCTGCACATCTTGGTCTGGCTTTGTGGAGAAGTCACTTGTCCCTCTAGTTTGTGGAAGAAGGTGACAGAGGTGCCTACAGCTTCCTTTTTGGGTATTTAGGATTATTAAATCTAGTTGCAAGAAGCAATTCGGCATAACCACCTTGTTAGTTACTCTTACATTTTTTCCCCTGGTGTTTATCTTGCCTTTTGTTCTAACCATGTTGTGACAGCCGAGTATAGAATGTACCTAGCAGTACCCAGCCTGTAATTGCAAGCTTGAAGAACAACCACTGCATCTTTGTGCTTTTTAAAGGCTCCTATTTTCCAACGAGGAACATATCCAGCTGACATTTTAAGTGGCACTGAGGCTTTTCTTTGTCTCAAACGCTGTCAAGATTCCTGTTACGTAATTTACTCGTATATGAATTTCCTTTCTGGGCAGTTTTTTTTCTTTTACACGCTTGGTGACTGCTGTCTATTTTCATTAATGATTTGGAAACAGTATGCAAGTCCATATATATATATAAATTGTGTTTACTGGGGTTTCTTTGAATACAGAGGTATCTGGTTCATATAATTATATTGAATTTCTGTCTTGCTGTTAAAAAGACTATAGTGAAATCCGTTTTCTTCCTCATACTTTCATTTGCCACATGCTAATGGAAATTTCTGTTTCTCGATATTTAGGTAATAAGTCCTGAGAAATACGATATCAAGTGTGCAGTCCCAGAAGCAGCAATAATTTTAAATTCGTGTGTGGAACCAAAAATGCAAGTTACTATCACACTGACATCTCCAGTCATTCGGGAGGAGAACATGAGGGATGGAGGTTGGGAAGTTGCTAAAGATGTTACTTCTTTCTCACCCGTTTTTTTATGTTTATCTATTCTGCTTAAGACGGCGTTAAGGTCCTGGAAGGCAACATGCTGGCACATGTATTTGATTGAAACCTTGTTTTTCAACAACCAGTCTCGGTAGAGAACAGTTGGTTAAAATAAATGCTTATACAATGCGTTTATTTAATTTTTAAAATTTCTAACTTCATGTCCAACCTCAGCTTTCTGGAAAAGGTACAACCGACTATTTTTTTTCCCCTCTTTTAAAATTATGTGGAAAACTAAGTATTTTATAGCAAGTGGCTATAAACTGGTTTTCTAGAGCAGTCTTGCCCTAAGAGAAAGATTGTATGATTTTAGAAAATCAAATCACAGGTTTTTGCATTTAAACTGGATCAGTATTACCATCACTTACACATTGCAGATAGCAGCACCACTTAAAATGCATTTTTATAATACTTTTGATGGTAACAGTGCTTCTAACTTTAAAAGACGATGCGATTTTTTCCAGCTCTCTGAGGTTGCTTTTTGGTCTGGAGTGGTTTTTGAGTATATTTAGGCTCCTGGTATTACAATCAGTCTTCTATCCAACTGGCAAACCCAGACTAGTACAATAAGAAATGGCTTTGTCATTGAGCTGAAGCAGAAGGTGGAGCTTGTAAATCAATTTACATTTCTGAAGTCCACAGTTTCTCTGGTGCCAGCAGTGTTGCTTTAGGGTCTGTTCTGTAACACTTTCAAAGCTCCAGAAGCTTTTAAACCAACAAGCATGATTAATGTCTGCAGTACATTGGTTCTTTTTGTTTACGGGTCAGATAAAATTAACTTTTGTTTCCTTTTAATCCTGTATTTTCATAGTGGAAAGAGATCATGGCAAACAGGGTTCTGGTGTTTGACAGTGAACCTACAAATAGGAAATCTGAGGCTATCTTAACACTTGTCATATGCAGGTTGAAAAAAATTGTATGTGTGTATGTATACATGTGCTTGTGCATATACGTATTTATATAAGCCACGGAGGTTTTTTTATTTCATCTCATCATTACATGTCCTCTAAAATACTTGAGGGTTTTATATTGCATTAGTAAATGTCCTGTAGCTGTGACTAGTGCATTGTAAACAAGCTGTGTTAACAAAGTCGTCCTCCATAATCAGAAAGAAAAATTTCAAGATGCATTCTCTGGTTTGGATGACATCTGAAGAGTCTTTAAGAGTGCTTTGTACGTGATTTTTAAGCTGTGCATATTATTCCTAGCTATAAAGGCTTTATATATGTACTGTCACACCCAACCAATTTTACTTGTTTTTTGACAATCTAAGTGTAACATGACGCTTGGTTTGTCTGTGCTGAAACAGACTTCACATGTTATTTAAGCTTATAAGGAATACTTAAAAGATTGGATTATTAAATTAGATTAACCATTAAATGAAGTTAACCTTAAACACCATGTTTATTTCTTAATATACTGTGCAAAAGTGCAATATTAATTCCTGCATTAAATGGTTTCTGGCCTAAAATTCTATGATGTGGACTAAAAATAAAATATGTTTCAAATTATTGCCATCAATCCCTTAATTTATGTCACCTAAAGGAAACAAATCTGTATTTTTGTCTGACCCACACTTGAATTAAAATGATCATTGTGAGTTTATTCACTGCTGAATGCAGTACTGCCTCTAGGCAAACAAAATCAAGTTAGATTTCTCTTCAAGACACTGAGCAGTATAAAATGGATGTGCAGAAAAGTTCACTTTTGAAACTAGAGCAAATAGAAGACTGAATTGCAAATTATTGCAGCAAAGAAGGCCTTATTACGAAGATGCTGCTTATTTGCTGCAGAGTAACAGTATGTGTTTGTGTTTTTTCTTACTGCAGCTTCTCATGCTCTGTGTCTTACAATGGTTTAAAGTTTTCATTTTTTTTAGCCCGCTTGGGGAGCTAGTTCAGGTGATAAGGAAGGCTTTACCGGAAGAACCAGTTTGAGTAAAGATGAGACTGAGACTTGCACGTGGAGTAGAATCATGTTTGATGTGTAATAATTCCATTACATGATAAAAGGCTAAAAAAAAATACAGTGGAATAAAATTGTTAACCGCATAATTACTGTTCCTTACAGTATTGTGCGTTTGACAGTTTACCAAATCTGGTATATTCAAAGTGCTCTAACCCCTGCTGTGGAATCTTTCCTTCAGCAAAGAAAGTGTACATACTTGTAAACGCATATATGTGTGCGCGTGTGTCTTTTTTATCCTTAGCTAACAGCCCCGGTCCAAAGCCTTCTAGCAGAGGGACTTGATTCCTGTCAGGGGTTGCTGCCAAGACATCGGAAGGATTTTTGACCAAGGTTTTCTAAAGCTCAGTGTCACACCTGCCATGTTTTACAAAGGAGGGGGTTTGGATGCATAGTCCTAGCATCTGCTGTTACTTTGTGTTTTGTTTTTTTTCTTTTTGTCTGTGTCTTTCTCCTAGAATTAAGCAGTGTTCACACTAGTCTTGAAATAGTTGACTGGGTAAAATGTATTTCCCATAATAAAACTTACCGAAATTGATATACCTGTTAACTTTTAATGAAGAGGTAGTGTGGACACAGCATGTCTAACTGAAGATTAACCCCTTATATTTAGGCTAGTAATAAATTAAGTTATACAGGGTAAGAATTCGTGCTTGTGTTTTGTAAATTAATTCGGTTTTTTTGTCTTAGCTTAACAGGGTGGTAGGTTAGGCATCTGAATTTAGTTAAATAGTCTTTAAGGGGTTAATCCTGAAATGTGAATCAGATGCAAAAATCCACAGATTAAATATTACAAGAGTTTCCTTGATACGTTTTTTCAGTCAATGTATTCTTAGTGCAATGGGTGCCTTGGCCGCTTCTGACTTTCAGAGTCTTTTTAAGCTTCAAGGGTATTCATATGATACCTATTAGTAGCACATTTTAGATCTACATTTTCAGCACTGAATAAGATTCTCTTCTGTGCACATAAAGTGTAATTCTTTTTAGTAAAATTATTTTCTAAATTGAAGTTTTTCAGAGCTAGAAGTAATTGGAGTTTCAAATTATGTAATGAATTATTGTGTTGAAAGTTTGCACAGTGTCACCTATTTGCATATTAGTTTTAGAAGAATGTAAATAATTGACTGATTAGGCTACTAGGCCTAACAACCCATATTATTATTTTAATTTCTCAACCTTACTTTGCCACTTTTTCCCCTGCTGTGGGTTTTCTCTAAATGTACTCCTTGTCTCTTATATCCAGATTGTACTCGTTTCATCAGTTATCTTACCTGGCACCTCTCTTGTGTAGGTTCAGGTTTGGGGTTTTTTTTTGTTTTGTTTTGTTTTAAAGGAAATACTGTTTTAAATGTCTTCATTTGCTCTGTAAATGCCTCCTTAGTGCAGTTTTTCATCTTTCCACTTTAACATATAGTCCATAAGTTTGAATATCTGTGAGAAGATACCTATGTTCTTCTCAGCTTTGTTCTTATTTTGAAATCCTCCCCCTTTTAGCCTTGTGCAGAGCAATCAGACTATCCTATAAAAAATACTCAAATCTGAATGTAGTACTTCAGATTAAATATTGCAAAGTTGTACCATGTTCATTCATGGCTTTTTAGCTCCCTATATAGTAAAGTACCCTACTATTTATTTTACGTTTGTGTAAAATAGGTGGTTTCAGAGCTGTCTTTCTGCAGCATCCGTAAAAGCTTCTTCTTGCCAGCATGTTTCATGAGTCTCAAAATATTTTTTTTTTTTTAAATGTATTGTCTGACTTACCTGAATTTATATCTTGCTGGAGTAAACTGTATTGTTCCATACAGCCAGCTCCTGTGAAATGAGTACCATTGAGTGAGGGCTTTTTTTTTCATCTTACCTGGTGTATCACCAGTTATGCTACCAATATACTTCGTTACTAGTCACAATGGCCATTTTCATAATTAGTGAAACAAAGAACTTTTAAAGCTGATCACTGCATTGTAACTCTACAATTTTTAAGTAACCTGAGGATACCATTTCACGTTGTTTAGTGGTTCCAGTTTCATCAATTAAACCGCTTCCAAAAGGGCCTGTGGTCTCTTCCTTTTTGGCAACAAAGCAATCAGCTTGGTAATTAAATCCTTTTCTGAACATTTAAATATACAAGATATACTATATGTTCTTTATCTGTCAGACATTCTGCTTTGTTTTTTAAACTATTCCTTACTTTTCAAGTAAAGCAGTCCCTTTTCAGATCCATCCTTGCATCCTAAATGATATTGGAGCACATATAGGCTGAGGAATTTTACTTGTATGAGTAAGAGAGAGGTTAGTAGAAAGTAATGGAACTCTGTAATACTGAAGAACATTTCACATTCCTTTAGTCAAGATTTTTAAAGCAAAATAATTTCAAGTTTAAGGTATGATAAAAATAACATCATTACTAAACATCTAGTGCTTTTAAGATTTGTTATATTTAGTTTTTCTTTTAAGCGTAGGTCCCAAATAACACGTGACCATTAAAATTTACAAGAAACTAAGTTTGAATGTTTCTACTTGGTTAAAGTGGATTTTTGTGTTCCTTCTGTCTTGTGTTCTCTGTGCTGGTGCACTGTGTCCAACCATCCTTCCTTCAGTATTTAATTTTAGGGGATATGTGTTTTTCCAGTGTTAGCTTAAATAAAGAAGTACTACGCATTGCATAATCCGCAATGCATTTGAAAATAACTTCAGAGCTAAAGTGTAATATGCTCTTGATCTTCATACTGGGTTGATGCCCTAATCCTAATTGAATGGCTTTTGTTGAACATCTACATTTGTTGCTCAAGGGTTTAAACTTTAAATGGCATGTGTGACATTGAAGCTACTTTAAGGAAGTGTCTTGCTCACCTGGTCAAACACCCATTCCTCACTGCATTTTGCCAATTCAATCCATTTTAGATGTAACCTCGGGTATGGTGAAAGACCCACCGGACGTCTTGGACAGGCAAAAATGCCTTGACGCTCTGGCTGCTCTACGCCACGCTAAGTGGTTCCAGGTTCGGAACATCATTTTACTTTTTTCTTGTAGCCTTATGAGAGATTAGTTCAGTTGCAATATAAATGTTTAATTGTGTGAAAACACTCAGCGTTGTTCATGCTAATAATACTTAGTATTTTTCTGGTCCCTAAATTTAAATGTAGAAGGTTGAGTATGGAGGAACTGCTTTATGCAGTTATTGCTCATTTGACATGATTTTTTTTTCTGGTCATTGAGAAGGCGATGTTGAAAGCTTGACTCGCTTGGGGTGATCATATGTTGTATATTTGTTATATATTCCATAAGGCTGCAGAGTAACTTTGCTTTAAATAATGGAATATGTGTTTAAGGCTTTGTGTTTAGATTTAAGACTTTTTTTCCTATTTCTTTAAGTGCATTAAGTGTAGGAAAATGGTTTAGTGACTTTGCATTCTGGCAAAGGCACAATAAAGAAACCAAACAGATTCCCTTGACCTTTCAGTCTCTATACCTATTTCTTAGATCTTTACTTTATCCTTTTTATTTCTAATATAGAAAGATACTGTATTTATTGTTACAAGTGAACATAGGTCAAAGTGTACAGGGGATCAAGAAATGTTATTCTTGTATAACCTGTGCACTTTGACTTCTACCGCCTTAAATTACTAACCCTGTATAAAATACTGCTGTAAATGGCAGCTCATGGAATAAAGTCGTAGAATGATTTGTTTCAATCTTGTATCTGAGCTTCCATTGAACAGTGGTGTTTTAGTCTTTCAACAAGTCCTATTTGCTGTAGGTGCTGGGATTAATTAATTTGATTTTGTATTGCTCTTAAGGCTAGAGCTAATGGTCTGCAGTCCTGTGTGATTATCATACGTATTCTTCGTGATCTCTGTCAGCGAGTTCCAACTTGGTCTGATTTTCCAAGCTGGGTGAGTAATGTTCTTTTGAATGAGTCTTTTTAATACACATGGTACTGCAAGTAAAACATAGGAAAGTTTTACTTTAAAAACATAGTTTTTAAATCTAGACTTTTTCAAGAAGTAATGTCAGGTTTTGTTTGGGTTTTTTTCCAAACAAATAATCCAGATGCCCTCTAAAAATTTAATTTTCTGAGGTTTTGTCATTTGGAGCTGGAATTTTTTTTTTTTCCCCAAAAGGAATTGTCTTGTTCTTTTGTATTCTTTGTGGGTAGCATTCTTATTCTAGATTTTAACATTTTTTTCCTTTACTCTGTATAAAAGAATCTAATTTTTTCTAACTACCTACTCTGAATTGCTTGAAGTTTAATGAAACTTACTTAAAATAATGTCAGCTGTGCCCAGATAGTTCTGTGATAATAGAAGGGCTACTTGAAAGAATAAATCATAGTAATTCCATTAATATGTCCCTTCCGCAAGATGATACACCACAGTACTTCAGTACAGTCTGTGGATGTGTCACCATTAGCATTTTAATCTGTGTCACTTAGATCTCTAGGTTGTACCGGGTTACCTCTCTTAATTCTTACAGCCGACTGTTCTTCGAGCATTCCTTTTGCATTGACTATCTTAAATGATGCTCTCCAGGAGTGCAGCTTGTGCTCCAAATATTAACAGATGTTCAATCTGTGGACCAGACAAAGTTAGGCTGAAACAAAATCTCTGAAACGTGTATAGTGTGGAAGTAAACTTAGCTCTGACTGTTTTGTTTCACAGACCAAATCCTGTTGCACTGTGCTGCTTCCTTTTCAGTTTTGGCAGGAAGAGCGCTAACATTGTCAAGACAGTTTGAGCAGTTGGCATTACTTCAATGAGAAGTGTTTTACAACTGTACTAAGCCTGCAGACAACTTTATTAAATTACTTATGATAATATTTATTGCAGTTATTTCTGGTTTTTAAATATTTAAAGTGGAAAAAAAAGTGCTAGTTTCGGTGCTACATTTCATGAAAGATACACGGTACAGATACAGCTTAAAAGAAGCTAAGTAGTATGTAAGTGCCCTCTTAATATCACTATGATACTGAGTTGCCAAAGAATAAACCCTTGCATACTTTTAGAAAACCATCCTTAGAACTATTGCAACACATAGCATTGCAACACAGATGAAGAACAAGGAATATTATTTCTTATTTCTCACATTATCTGTTCTAAGGCACATCCAGAAGGGAAGAGAGGTATGAAGCAGTGTGCCAGGCCTAGCTGTGTCTCAGGTCTCTCCAAAAGTGATTCCTGATTTGCTCCTGGTACCTGATGCAGTCAGTGACATGAATCAGCATTGAAGTCTGTGTAGTCAGCTGTTCTTTTGGCCCATTGGCAAAGTCTTACTGATAAAAACGAAGACAGAATGAAAATTGTGATTTTAAACATATGTAATTTCTGCCAGTCACAGATGGAATTTCACAGATTGAAGAAATATATTTTTCTGGATACAGAACTTCTCCTAACCTGTATGCTAGAAGCCTGTTACAAACCAAAGAGATGCCAGAGCTTTTCAAAAAGAACCTAAGTAGTTGTAAAAATAGAAAATATTAGGAAGTCTAAATATGGACATTAGTAGCATGCTCTTTATATAGCTAAAAATAAAAACTAAATTAGAAGAATTTTGTCAAGTTCCTACAAGTTAGAAGGAACTATTATTCAAGGTTGATTTTTCAGACTTGAAATCCAGCCGTTCGTGCACGTAAACACCAGGGCATCGTAATTCACATTTTCCTGGGATTAAGTTGTAGACTTTAGTGTATGCTATGAGGATCCAAAAGAACTAGACTTGAATAAATGCAAAAACATGATCTGTTTTTTTCCTTTCCTGCTGTAGTTTGCTTCATATTTGAAAACAACTAAATTGCTGTTGCTAAATCCTGAGTGATACAATGGGAGTATGGAAATACCATGCTCAAGAATTGAAATTTGTCAGTTAAATGCAGCTAAAATAGAAAGAAATGGGCACCCTTAGTGAAGGATTGTAATCAACACTGCCTATAGTTACTTGCATGCATCAGAATAGACATTTACTCCTGCAAAGCAAACATAAAAGGCAACGTTTGAACAACTGTAAACTCAGTGAGGAGGGGGAGGACAAAAAAAAACACCAAAAACCGAGAGAGACACGTCGTTTAAGAATTAATCTTGCCAAAGATGTAGTATTGAAACATCCATTTAATGCTGAAAAAACACCTAAGGAAAGCTATTCTTTACTTCCGCAATTATCTTTTATAGTTTTTTCTGGAAAAAATAGTGCTTAATAAAAGTAAACAATGGAAATACAGAAAAAACAGCTAATCATTTAAACCATTTTAACTAATATCAAATAATGTATAAATTTTAGAAAACCTGTTTTATCATCAAGATTTTTTTACACTTGTTTAACATCTGAGTTAGTGTTAGCCTATATCCAGGAGAAGACTTGCTGTGAACTTCAGTTTTGCTAAACTGAAGAACTAGTAACCACTTAAATATTAAAAGATTGTTAATTTTTTGATGCTTTAAGTTTCTGTACTCTTGTAGAAAAAATTTATTTTTCTATAGCATCTTGTTAATTTCATTAGATATACTGTGTGCTGTTTATTCTTGTGGCTGACAGATTCAGGTGACCCACAATGCTTAATACTCACTCCAAAAGTAGCTGGACTTAGACAACATGCAAGTTGTCTAACTGCATGTGTAAGCTACTACTGTATAAATTTCTACAAAACTTTTGAACAACTTGTGATGAGAAGAAGCATATCAGTACTTGATGTTAGTCTTGCATCAGCTTTCTTTTTATTCATCTTTATAAAATACCGGATTTTTTTTCCATTTTAAATGAAAGTGTTCTGGGACGTGTAATGTTCTTCAGAATTCTGGATTCAAAAGTTCTGTATTGAACAACAGTAGCAGCTTTTTTCTGTTTTAATCCATCTTCTAAATCGGCTGGATTTTCTTATTGTTGGTGCAGGCTATGGAGTTGCTTGTGGAAAAAGCAATTAGCAGCGCTACTGGACCACAGAGTCCTGGGGATGCACTGAGAAGAGTTTTTGAGTGTATATCTTCAGGAATCATCCTTAAAGGCAAGTTGCATTTGATCAGTGTCTGTATACTTATGCTTAACTAATGTAAAATCTGTAATCTTGGTTGAAATAAGGTAGAGATGCGCTACTAATTAGCCTAACCATTGTAGGTGGTCCTGGCCTTCTAGACCCTTGTGAAAAAGATCCTTTTGATACACTTGCTGTAATGACAGATCAGCAACGAGAGGATATTACTTCGAGTGCACAGGTAAGGAAACGTATACGTGAAGTAACTAAATTTGATGGCTGGTTTTTGGGGCATTTTTTGTTTTGATTTGGTTTTTGGTTTTGTTTTTTTTAAACGGAGCTATATGGTGGACGTGAATTTTCCTTTCTTATTTCATTGGCATTTAATATTTTATGAATCAATCTGTGTAAGTTTAATTTTTAGTATTTATTGTATCCACTTACAGTATTGACCATTCACACTTGCAGCTTAAGAGGTTACTGTCCCTACCTCTTCATTTGATCCTTTTGCTAAAGATTACTAACACGTAATGGGACATGTGACAAGCCTTGGCTGCTTCAGTGCAAGTCCAGCAGCTAAATCACATGTACATTATTTTTAAGATGATATACTTTGTACAGAAACAGCAAATGTGACATACACATTTTATTGTGTTGACTTTGTCGTGGGAAGGAAGAGGGGATAATGAGAGCTAGGGATAATATCGTACACTGGTGATGTTCTTCATTAATTGTTTGACAAAGTACTCAAAAATTGGCATTTGTTTCTAACAGAAATATCTTTTTTCTACCCTTTTTCTAGTTTGCACTGAGACTCCTTGCATTCCGTCAAATACACAAAGTTTTAGGAATGGATCCATTACCACAGATGAATCAACGCTTCAACATCCATAATAATCGTAAAAGGAGAAGGGACAGTGATGGGGTTGATGGATTTGAAGCAGAGGGGAAAAAAGACAAAAAAGATTATGATAACTTTTAAAAATGTTTGTCATCAGTGCTAAGATCCAAGGTGATAAAAAGTCCATTTGTTGCCTTGCTTTTACTTCATTCATAATAATGTCTGTTTAAAACATCCAAAACCAACTCGGAAGTTAGATTTGGAAGAGAACAACCTAGCTCTTCTGTGAGATTCTGATATTTTAATGGATGTACTGTACCAGACAAATTATGGATGGAAGAACTGCAAATGGAAACTCTGTTGTCATAGGAAAAAATAGTTTTCCCTCATTGCATTTTCTTTAAATGTGTTGCTAACTTTAGTAACTTTGCTTCTTTTGTTTTTGTCCTTTTTATTAACAAGTGCGTTGTCTTCTTATCTTGATTGTATTTAATGCAGCATTTGTGTTTCTGTTGCTATGTGTCTTTTGACTTTTTATTTAGAAGTTTTTTTGTTTGCCTTTGACACTAGTTGTATAAGTTACTTTGAGTTAGATAGTATACACTGTTCCCCTCCCAATTAATATTTTACAGAACTTTTTTTTGTAAAGTGAGACTGCAGGATTATGTTTTTTTCTAAATGTGAAGGGGTTACAACACATAATTATCCTGCCATTTGAGTGCTCAGAATTAAATGTTTTTGCCAATCTTGTGGCATTTGTCTACTTAGTGTGATATAACGGTGTAATTAAGACAAATTTGTGTTAATCTAATCAAGTTTGCTGTTAGTTGTGCATTAGCAGTATAAAAGCTAATATATACAGTATGGTCTTGCAACAGTTTTAAAGCAGCTGCATAATTGATCAAAGTTTTGCATGATGTTTTTGTTTTCAATAGAAGGGCTTTTAAAACTATAATTTTAGGTTAAATGCGTAGGTCTTTGTATGATTGACTTTGTGACATAGCAAGGCCAAAAAATAACTTTCTGAATTTCTTTTCTCAACATAGAAGCAAAAGCGGGCATTTCCCATTTAGACAAAGTTAGTCGTTCTTTTCAATCAACTTTGTCGATATGATATTAATGCCTCTCAGCCCTTAAAATAAATGTTTGTCATATCAGTGCCTGTGAGGTTATTCCTTATAGCTATTCCTGTATAAATTTTCTGTGATTTTTTCAATAATTCAAATTTTAAAAGTGAAGTATTACTGAAAAAGTGAAGGTTATCAAAGAAAAAAACCAGAAAATTATTTGATGTGGCCATAGTGTATGCTTATGTCTCTTTCAAAAAGCTAAATATAGCAGTGGTGTAAGTAAAGTTACATCATACTGTTGATGTATGCTCTGGTACACAGGTGTGATTTGTTGTCACAGCACTACAGTGGAATACACAAATAAAAACTAAAATTTATTAAATGACTAAAATTTATTATACACTGGAAGCTGAAGTTTCACTTATTCTGTTCAATGTGTATTATGCTATGTTGCAAACCCATAAAACACAGATTAACATAGACTAACATTCTGGTAACTACTTTATCAATGGCTGTAGGAGAGTATTGCACATTACAGAGATCATTTGTTATTTCTGGTAACATTTATTAAAAAAACCTTTTGTTCCATTTTGAGGTCGAAATTACCTTTGACCTTTTAATAAGTAACTCCTGGAGTAGGGGGATGTTTCTGTTTGCAACACCTACTGCTAACAGCATGGGCCTATGGAATAAAAATACAATATTTTAGAAAAATAGAGGGAGTCTAAAGACTTAAAGAAAAAATGTAATACAGTGTTCTTCAAGCATCAGAGTGCAATTTTTAAGGAAGTGATCATTAGTGGTTTGCAAATAAAAGGAAAACTTTCTCATTGTAGGAAAGATTTCCTACTAATTTCAGCATCAGAAATATAGAAAGCAGAAATGCTTTAAAGTTATTTTAAAAAAGGATTACACTAGTTTCTGTTGTCCAACCTTGTGGCATAGCTCCAAGCATGTGCTTGTTCTTAGTCTTTTTTTAAGAGGATATCTTGCTGCCATGATGTCCAGTTAGCCATTACTATTTATTTTGAAAGCTACAGGTGCTATTCATGTGGCTAGTTTAACTCCATACCAAAGTTTCTTTCCTCATAATGCAAACTTGTCTATTCAGGCATGTGACCCTAAAATTTAGGATTAAAAAGGTCAAAGATGTATTTTGGATTTCCTGTATTTTTGTTCTACTGGCTTTTAACTCTTAACCAGTTTCTAGATCTTTTGAAATACTGTATACTTAAAGTGATTCCACATTAAATATGAAGCTGTGACCATGATTTTTGCACTGTGTGGTGAAGAATGAATTTGCATTTTGTTTCTGGTTTTCCTGCCCATTTTAATGGGCTATTTTAGGTAACTTCTGACTCTTGTTAGTCTAAGAAGAATGGAAAAACAAGGTTTTAAAAAGTACAGAGCTAGCTTTGACTTTATATATTACACTGTGCACTTGGGAAGATAAAAATGACACCGAGTAATCAATTTATGAACAAGTAATCATTTTAATATCCTGTATTTTGGTAATGCTAGCAGTTTACTAAAAAGCAGTGTTTGCCTTTTTTATTCAGCAACGCTGTGTGTTAACTCTTGAATCCCAGACACCATAATCATCATACACAAAAAAGAAATACACAGCAAGAATTTTCCCCTCAGTGCTCACCTTAGAGGAACAGTTTGTCAAAATATGAGCTGTTCTGTTTTGAAGCTTTTTCAAACTTTGACTTGTCTGCCTAGTTTGTAAGTCCTGCCTGTGAGCAGTGTGGTTTCACATGGATTCCTGTATAGAGGCATTGCTAGAAATTAAAGTCTATTGGATATAGTCCATCAACTTCTTGCCCTATTATGAAATTCTAGATGAACTGTTAATCTTACAAAGCTATTGAATGTAATGGGTTCATTTGCTGTTTCTATTTTTAGACCTATTTCACTATTCAGAAGTGATTTAATAGTACTTAAAATTGTTGTACCTAGCAAATTTCTGAGAGTTGGAATCAACTTTAAATAGTCCTACAACAATTTGTATGCATATTTAACATTCTTGTTGCTGGTTGAGTATCTGCTGATCATTAGTCTGTTAAGTATTCACACAATGCCGAATTCATTTCTTCATTAAACAATTAAGATTTGTTCAGACTACTCAAAGCATTAATAATAGAGGGGGAAAAAAAAAGTAGTAGGCACAATTTGCAATCTGTTTTTTTCCACTTACATTGTAGGTTTACAAAGTACAGTAATAGCTTCAACAAAAACAGCTGTTTTCCTTCTGTTTGTTGGGTTTTTTTTCTCTGAAAGCTGTAAGCCAAAGAGCTTTCTAGCCAAAAAAGCTGGCAAATTAAATTTCTCCTGAAAGATTCTTTTAGAAATCTTCTCAAGAGTTCTTTTTTCCTTCAGTGTGGTATTTCTCAGCCTTTTTAAAATGAAACAGACATCTAGTCTTTCGGGGAGGAAAAAAAATCCAAGGAGTGTCATCTACAGAGTTATCACAATGGTTTTGATTTACATCCAGATAAATCAGGCTTCATTCTCTAAATATCTGTTAATTTGTATTGTCCCATTTTGTTCCACTTTCTCACTTGGATTATGAAAATGTTCATATATATTCCTAGTACTGAGAGAATTTTGCTGTTGTTTCTTGAACTGCTCTCTGACGTTTTACAGTTTGCATTTTAAGAAATGCTGCCCTAATAATATTTGGCAAGTGTAAAGTTCCTAACAGGGTAAAGGTCATTGTTTTTCATGGGTACATGATCGGCAGCTATTGCTGGGGATTTTTATCCTGCACAGTGCACACTTCCCTATTTCACATAGCCTTAACATATCTGTGTTAGCAAGGGTCATGATTAAGGGTCATATCTTCTTTAATACATGTGTTTTCTTAAAGTATTTTGCAAAGCCATGGCCATTAATACTTATTCTGAAGCCAGTGATTCATTTATTGCAGGATAGTTTAAAGCCAATCAGCTTTTAGAGGCTCAGCCTAGCTTAAATACTTTCACATACATTCTACTTCAATCCTATTTCAGGTTGATCTCCTAAATCCAAAGAAACATAGAATGGCATCAAGAAACCTCTATGGATTTTTGAAGTTCTCTATATTTAAAAATCTAAGATTGCAGAGTGAAATAGCTGACCAAGAGAAAATAAATCAGTTTTTCTACAGTAAAAGGTTACTTTAACACTAAAAGGGAGACAAAGAGCCTCTTGTTCCTAGATGAGAATCACAAACCTTGCTCCTTACGTAAGCTTTTTTCTTTCCTTTCCTGCATGCTGCGTCATGTTTGTATTAATTGTATGCATATATGATTAGGAAGTTCTGTCCAGGATATGTAAGACAGCCTTATCACAGGCTTAATGTCTGGCATACATTTAAATTTGCCAGTAATGTGCTGGTTATACAAGTTAATGTTTTCTTACTAAGACAGTAAGCTGGGCTGCATTGCTAACAATGCAAGTCAGAATGATGTGGGAGAGATGAAGGCGCCTGAATGCAGGGGTTTAGTATCATTTTACATGCTCCTAGTGTATGTGCTGCTCCAAAGCTGGATGGGTGTCTCAGAGGTCCAGGCCCATAGTGGCCAGCCCTGTATGGGTACCTCAGTATGCCTTAGGACGACTAGAATGGCATTGTTTTGGTAACTACCATGAATTTACATGTGTAGGAGAAAAGTGCAGGTATTTTTAAATTTTAAGAATTGTAGCCAGTATGGTCCAGCGTGTTGCCAATGTAGTCAAGTGAAACTGCAACTTCAAGAAGGTGGGATAATCATGAAGGAAGCATTGTGGTGTCAGCAATGGAGTGGGCTTGTCACAGTAGGAGCGGAAGCTCAAGTGCCTATGATAATTAAATGCCACCCCAATTCATCCCAGTAACTTCAATTTTTTTTTTAGTGTGTTTTGTAAGTGATTTGCACCTGTCCAACGTTTTGCAAATATGGAGGTATTTGCTTAATGTCTTTCCCT